TTCATAAAAACAAATGTAAATCTACAAATGAGTAAATTGTGTTTTGTGTTTCGTTCCCAGGGAGCACTGGCAGGTCTGGGGGCGGGTCTTGCGATGTCTTTCTGGGTTGGCATCGGGAGCATCGTCACTCGAAGCTCCGGCCCGAGACCACCGCCACCCGACTGCAGAGCCATCCTTCTGTCGAACAACACGACTACTGCCATTCAGACCGCGCTCAGAAACGTCACTCTTAGGTATCAGGCACACCGACAGCACAGCGTGATTTGTTTTCACTGCCGTCATTTCACATGTTAATCATCTCTCTTTGCTCTTTAGCCGACCGTCTGGACTCAAGAGATTTTATTCATTGTCCTACATGTGGTACAGCGGGTTCAGCTGCTTCACAGTCATCCTAATAGGCCTGATCATCAGCTTTCTCACCGGTAGGCAATTTCTTACACATTCGCTCTGTAAAACAGAACTTGTCTTCTTTAACTTTAAATTATTTTAACATATACATTTATATATATTTATGTTTTAGGGCCTATGAAAGAAGAAGATGTGAACCCAGGCACAATCTATCCGTTGTTGGGGAAACTGCTTTGTTTTCTCCCAGAGCACCTCAAAAAGAAATTCTGCTGTGTGACTCCTCTGGGACAGATGGTAAGTAAAATGATGATGTTTGATTACAGGGATGAGCAACACATTTGAAACCGCCTCAGATACAGTGATTCAGGCTCAGGCTCAAACACTAGATGACGTCTGTGAGGGTTCAGTGCTTAGGCTTTAGGGTGGGATATGATCTCAGTTACTTAATCTTTCTATCTTTATTTATCTTTTAATGATATTTTTATTAATCTTCTAGCTTTCAGCACAACAAAGGCTGCCTCCACAAGTCAAAGAAAGGAATGGATTGGCATTCCCAAAAGAGGACGGACCATCACCAGACGAGACGGAGAGTTTTCTTCCCGAGGCTCACACACCTTTTGTGGAGTGTGAAACAGCCGTGTGATATCAAAGTTTCATGTCTGACTGGAAAACGGTTAAACTGTCTTTACACAAAGCACTTGGACTAAAAAGATATATCTTTATTTCTCGTTTTGTTGCTGTAATTAACGTAATTCAAATTTGCACTGTCTCATGCTGCAGCAAGATCAAAGCTAACAATGTTGAGTGAAAACTATAGGGCTGTGTTTTTTTTTTTAATCTACTGACATCTTCACATCGTCAATAAAAGTGCAGCTGAGTCTGTTTATAGTTTTATATTTTGTCACAGGTTTTATTTGTATAAGTATTTGTCAGCTTCCCTGAATCACATTCAGTTGGTTCCTTGGTTTTTTGTACGTGTAAAAGCTGCACTACACTGTTACATGAGAATTACTGGATATTCTGTGAACTAGATCAAATAAAATGTATATGCATTTATAAGTAAATGTATATAAAACATATACTTGACTATTGTTTAGCACTACTGCAGCTGAAAGGTCCTGTGTCATACTGTGGGGAGATGATAGTGCCTCACTTTTTACGAATGTATGACAGAAAAACACATTTTTTCTAAGAAGGATTAAAGATTTTGTAGATAAACTTTTGCATTGTTTTGTCCTATTATTTGAATTGTGTGCAACTCGAATAACTTCAATCATGAAGTTCACAATAATCATAAAGTTTTGGTAAATGTCCGTCTTACAGGAGCACCCCAGGAAACAGGCACTCTAATGATTTTTACACATGAAGATTAGTTTTATTATGTTTTTTTCTCTGAAAAACTTGTAATTTATAACAAGGCCTGCATCATAAACTGGAGAAGATGTTGGTATTTACCACACAGGGAGGTTCTAATGAAAGAACTTATTGATATAAGCTATTTTACTTTAGTACTTTTAATTTTTTTTGCTACTTCCCATTTCGGCCGTTTTGCATATTGTAATTTTTATTCCATTACATTTATTTTGTATATCACTTATTTTCATATGAAAATTTTAAAACAAGCATATATGTGAGAAAATACCGTTCATTGTTAACAATAAATTAAATCCCCAGTAAAATGGTTATATAATAAATTATAATAATGTCACACTGACAGATCCAATTTAGCCCCCACAGTGAGTGTGTTTTTTTTTTTAAATAACACTTTAGCTCATAATAACTTGATTACAGGTTGTACTGATAGTTTTCCAAAAGCTGTGGTTAGAAATGTTCTGATACCATTTTATTTTATATATTTTTATCCCTTTTTTTAATCTCCCGAAAAAATCCTGACACCTAAACTTTGCATATGAGCCAATACTGAGTACATTAAAAAACTATGTACATATATATATATATATGTATATATATATATATATATATATATATATACTCTACGCTGGGAAAAATCAGTGAGAAACATCAGCAAGTTGAGAAACATGAGTGGGATACTGTTCATCTGGTACATATTTAATAATATGGTCAGACCCAGGTTGTGCATATGTAATATAATGTTTATATTAAGTCACCTGTTTAATTGTTGATAATACTATGCTCCCTGTATTTAGAATTGATTGAATTTTTGTCAGAACGCTTCAATGAACCTGAAATATGTTTTAAGTATCTCATTCACATTTGATGAAGTTTCCTCTAATACAGTACAAGTTTGGACTTTTACTAGTTGCAGATGTGTTCCTCATAAATATCTGTTGACCGCACATTTGTATGTACAAGCCCAGTGTTTGCACAGTGACTAGGTTTATCCCAGTGGGATCAGAAAAAGGAATCTTTTATGTTTCGCTTATGTGGCTAACGACACTACGGAAAATGTTATAAATACATACTTACATACATACTTTTTTTTTTTTTTTTTACCATTTTACTAAATACTTAACAAAGACATGTTATGAAAACTGTTGTGAAATTCCCTAATTAAAATATTCAAATATGTTTGAATGTTTTCCGTTGTGAAGGAGTCCTGCAGGGAATTCGTAGCAGTGATGAAGTCTGCAGGTTTCTGTGACATCCTGTGTAATATTTACAGCCGTGGTAGCAGCTTGGTGAGGCTCTATGTAGCTAAATGCTAAACATCACCATGCCAACATTCTTACAATGGCAATGCTAACATGCTGATGTTTAGCAGGTATAATGTTGAAAATGGTCATCTGAGCATGCTAATATTTGCTTTTTAGTACTAAAGACAAAGTACAGTTGGCTGAATGTCACTGGTTTTGCAGGTATTTGTACGGTGGCCCTGAGAGCTCAACACACTGCCACTTAAAGGTCCAGTTTGTAACTTTTCTTCTACTGAGTCCGTCATGTTGAACCGCCTTGTTTCTATAGTACGGACAAACACTGGCTCTGTATAGGGCAGTATTCAGTTGGCTGCCATCCGCAACCTCAACACTAGATGTCACTAAATGTCACTGAAGTATAGCACAGACCCTGATAGAAACAGTTTCCAGGGGGAAAAAGTGATGCACACCCTGGAACAGCTAGGACACGCTTCATTTTAGTTCATCTTCCAACACACACATATACCGACTTCAGTCACTTCATGAGTCACAAACCATGTCAGCAAGAAGTGTCCCAGCCTTGTTCATCATCTTTCCGTTTCTACACTTGCAGCGTGTTTCTGTCTTTGGTTGTGTTTTTTTCACAAATGTTGTTTAATTGGTGGAGAGTTTCTTAACTTGCTTTTCTTCTAGCTGTTTGCATGTGATTTCTTAGAGGTCCAGTCGTAGGATTTAGCGGCGTCTTGCTGTGTTGTTTAACTCCCTTGTTTCATCCGCCCCTTCCAAGCACAAAGTAGAAACTACAGTGGCCAAAAAAAAGCAAAAAGGCCCTATCTAGATTATTGACTTCAGGTGAGTATAAAGTAATGAAAACATATTACAACACATTATGAATATTATATTCCATCTCTGCCAATAGATCATCCTAGATGTTACACAATGGACCTTTAAGTTGCTCAGTTTGGTCATAAACCAAATGATCAAAAAAAATTACAATTTATATTTCCAGAAATATTTGTCAAATTATTTAACTAATAACCACAAATGTGAACCTTATTCCACTCAGATGCATTAAAAAATGTTCTTCCCAATTCCGAAACAGCCATTCTAGGCTGATTAGCTAGAAAACAACAGTTAAATATTTGGTTGATATATACTATCCAAAACATAATGGAACTGTATAACTGGATGACTACAGAAAACTAATTAGAGTACACCAATTGTTTTTCTTGTCCTTAATTTATTATTACATGTAAAGGGAGGGCTGGGATCAGGCGGGTATTGTTTGTGTTTGCTGGCTGCCTCCATGTTCTGTCTCTTTTTTCTGGAAAAGTGAACCCTATGGCTCTAGATGAGAATATCTCTGGATTACCATTTAGATTCAACCTCTGGGAACCAGTAGAAATGTTTGTATCATATTTCACAGCAGTCCTTGCAGTAGCATAACAGTACTGTACAGAGATTTTTCATGCAAAACCAAAAATGTTAATTTCATAGTGACGCCAGAGATCAAGTCAGAAGATCCAATCCAACTTTATTTGTTAAGCACTTTAAAACAACCAAAGTTGACCAAAGTGCTGTACAGGAGAATAATTAAGACATCATAAATAAAAGACATAACAGCTCACATGAGGCGCAAAATAACATATAATACAACAATAAAATATAAAGACATAAATAAAATAATAACCATGCAATAACAAGCAATCAAAAAGTAAAAATAACAAATACAAAAAATAAATCAAGTAAATAAAGTCGACATCTTACTAGGTGTCAAAGGCCACAGAGAAGAGATGGGTTTTAAGACTGGTTTTAAAAACAGACAGAGAAGAGGCCTGTTTAATGTGCAGAGGCAGATCATTTCATAATTTAGGAGCAGACACAGCAAAGGCAAAAATGCCTAAAAGTCAGACGGACCAACAGACAAACTATCAAAGATTGTCATCATTCCTCTCTTTTCTCCACCTTAGTTTGTCCCACCACACAGTTCATTCAGAAAATAAAGCAGATCTGCAGATTGAACAGTACCCTGACTGTCTCTTGCTATCTAATGACATGGTACATTATGTTGTTATAGCTTGACAGGCTCGCTCATAAACACCATTACACAAACACTGCATAGTCTCCATTTTTGAAAGTCAAATAAGCTCTGCATAACAGCGTTTTGTACTTTGCATGTCTGCAGTTAACTGTACTGTCGTTGTAGTATCCTGGAAACTAAATATGGTTTTTCATTTCCTTGTAAGCAGCTGCAACAACGGCTCCATCAGTGTGCTGCTGTCCTCTGTCGCAGACAGGTTCTTCAAACATCGTGAGGCTGCTGTGATGGTTTTCTGAATAAAGACTGAGGGAAACAGGTCAGTTGATTTTTATATGTCGATTATCTTATGCGATATACATATTTCATAATTCATATTCTTTTACAAAATGTGTGTTATGTGTTGCATTAGATGTTAGAATAAATCATACAGCAAAACAATTGGCACCTAGTTTCACAGAACAACTGATAAAGCATAAATTTCTAACACAGAATTGCTTTAGGAAGTGATTTCTGAGTGGTATTATGGCCAGGAGAACCAGTTAAAGTTATTTTAAACCCTATTTTATGTACATTTGGGCATTTGATTATTATTTTAAAATATCTGAATCAATGTTCTAAGTATAGTCTTAGTAAGTCTAAGTGTTGTACAGATTGTAAAGCCCCTAAAGGCTAATTTGTATATCCATAAAACTTGAAAAATCATTGCATTGGCAACAAAAATGAAGACTGACAAAATGAACAGTCTGAGAAAATTATATGAAGAAGTTTGATCTGCTCCCTCTGTCGTCAATAAGTGCTCCCTACAAATAAGGCCTGAGACTGATACAAATATTTTTGTAGCTTTTAGTAACATACTCATTAATTATGCTGAATGCCATTATCCTAATTTCATCTCAGGAATTCAGAGCAATAATAAAGCAATTATCTAACCTTACTTAAGTAACAGTTAAAAGTGGAGTATAATCTGAGGAACAGTTAAAATAAACCTTAATGAAAAGTTTCTCATTTACAAACATCTCAAATATAAAATATTGCAACATTTGCCCACTCTGTAGGGACTCGGCAACAAAAATGAATACTGACTAACATAAAATGTTAACTATGTGAAGGCCAAAGTTCTATCTGCTCCCTCTGTCGTCAATTATAAAAAGCCTGAGAGAAATATATGTAAGATGTGTAGCATTAACTGTTTTAACACAGAGAGTTAATTCCTCATTGATTGTTCTATAGGTTAAAGGAGATATGTCTGGGTCGTATATTGATAAATCATCGGCACGCTCTTGCGTCTCCACTTTCTCCAACAGCACAAGAATGAATCCAAAATAATCTCAGATATTAGCTGCTGCCATCTGTAAAGTCTGTGGTTGGGTCAGGGTTGGAGCCGCCGAATCGAGATCGATATATCGGCTGTCAATCATGACATGAAACCCCCTTTTCAGAAGAATGAACAAAATATACATAAGCATGATAAAAACTACCTAAAATTACAGAAACCATCTGTGGGGGGAAATGTATTTGACCCATCTGTTAACATGGAGGCAACGGGCTTTATGACAGCCAGCAGGGGAAGATAGAGATGTTTTGGCTTCACTTTTTGAGCGCTGTCATGTCGTCAATCTTTATTTATGTTGATGTGTTAAACGGTTACAAAATGTATGTAAGCAAAAGGCAAAAGAAATGACTTCTTATGTTGTTAATTATTTACAGGGACAGGATGTGGCTCTTTATAGTGCTTTACATCCTGGGGCTACACACCTTTCAGGTACATCAGTATCATAGATCTTAAAATTAAAAACATTAACATTAAGGACAAACATTAAATTGCATTGAATGAATGAATGAATGAATTATTCATTTTCTTTTGACTTTTACAGGCTACTGGACAAGGTAAAATGATTTGTATTTTTAGTTTATATTTTTTTCAGTGTAACATTGTTCTTAAACAGATATAGTGTATGTGACACTTTGAAATGTACTGCATGTAATTTGTCTATTTTGCATGTTTCAGGCAATTCAACACAAATGTACTATGCCACGCTGACAATAGATGAAAGTGCAATTGGAAACATAACGGAGTTACTGAAACCTTTTGTGAATGACTCAGCTGTGTACGTTGACAACCTGTCCAAGACGACATGTAAACATTTTTAATATTTAATTTAATACTGAATGTTCTGATTGATTTTAACTGGGGAAAAGGGGATTGATCCTCACTGAGTAAAACTATTATGCTTTTTTCCTCCCTAATCAGACTGTCAAAGTACCTCGACTAACAGAATCTGCACATGCGAGACAGGCTTCATGTGGACTAAAAAGATTTGTGAACCTTTTAATTGTTGTAACACCAGGATCTGCCACTTTTCCAAAGACATTGCTCACATGTGTGTTTCAGACAAATCAGGTATTTGATCATTTTCCTGTGTTTGCATGTGTATATGCACTATGTGTGTATTTCTGTGTATGAAGCATCTAAGTGTCCAATAAACTGACAACTTCTTTTCTGCACAGTTACCGTCAGCGGAAGCCTTACGTTAAAGGGAGATAAATATTACCCTTGTCTGGACAACGAAAACAAGGGCTTTGAGAATTGTACAACCACGTTGTGCACTGAGGTAAAAAAATATTTATGAATAAACAGCACATTATTTAATGAATTACATTCATCAGCTCAGGAATCATGTAATTAATTTAGAAAATATCATTTGTCGACAATATACTGAATAATGTATTTAGTGTTATGAGCTGTTGTCTTTCAGATGAAAAAAGTCTACAGCACTTTGAGCGGATTTGACAACTTAAAAATCACCAGCTACAGGTACTTGCTTTGTTTTCCAAATAAAATTATAATTTTTATGTTTTCAATATGTATCTGAAATCCGTATTTTCTCTTCACTGAAGGCTGGGAAGCGTCATCGTAGATTTTGAAATGGCTTTTGGTCAAAATATCAACATATCATACCTACAAAGCTTATCAGAAAATCTGAGCAGTTCCCTGAGAGGAAAACTAAAAATGGAGACTACAGGTAATTATATCAGAGGTAGGAACTAACAAAGTAACAAATACTTTGTTACTGTGCTTAAAGGACCAATGTGTAGGATTAAGTGGCATCTAGCGGTGAAGTTGTAGATTAAAAACTAACTGAACAACTCTTGCGTCTCAATTTAGAATGAGAACAAGTGTGAAGTACGCAGGAGAAACTAAAGTTAAACCTGTGAAAAACATAAACAAGGCTCAATGTAGATTCAGTATTTGGTTTGTCCATTCTGGGCTTCTGTGGAAACATGATGGTTCAACATGGTGAGCGTCTGTAGATAAAAACAGCTCATTCTAACCTTATGAAGATTCCTATATTCAGGTAGTCAAGTATTATATTCAATAGATCCTCCTAAATGTACCACACTGGACCTTTAAGTATTTTTTACTTTTCTGACAACTTTTTTACTTTTACCCCCGACATTTATACACAAATATCTGTACTTAATTCTCTTTACATATTCAAAACAGGCTCATTGCTTCTGTTTGAATTAATTTCTTTGCACAGAAACAGTCAGTAGAAATGTCTTTCAGAGGAACCAAGACTTATACTTTGAGTACGTTTCAGGCAGTGAGACCAGAGCTTAAGTGCAGTATGGTTTTCTGAAGTCATCATTGGAAACTGTTTGGAAAAGGGCAGGCACACAAAAAAACAAAAAAACTCAGCAGGCGACTATAACGGCTAACTTCAACCAAATCAGATCAACAAACCATATAGCGTACTCAAACTCTTACTGAAGTCAGTTGGGAGAAGAGTGAAACGTTTTCTCTTCTCTCAATGAAGAAATACTCTCCAGTTCTGATGTTACTGATGTTAGTAACATCTATGCTAATCTCTATGCTGCCCAACCCTGTAGATGCCAGTACTTCCACAAAGGACGCTGATTAGTCCGCATAGATTCAAGCCTGGTAAGATGGATTTCAACACCTAGGTTTCTATACTGATTAAACTTTTTTCTTTCTTTTTTTTTTGCAGGTGTTGTTACTTTACACATGCCAAGTAAGCCTGTGTGTCAGGACGAACCACATATCATCCGTTGCACTCTAACACAGCCGCTGGATACCAAAGAACCACCGAAGTGGGAGCTGAAAAGACAGGGCCAAAAGTTTGAAATAACTAATGGCACAGAGTCAGATGTGACAATCAAACCACTGGAGACCACAGTCAAACTTAATAACATATCAGAACTCTGGGAAGGTATATTTGTTTCAGCCACTGTATTTTACATGTCATATACTTAGTCTGTCAACTGGAGTGTGTCAATAAGTAATCACTGATTGAAAGTTACTATGTAGTTTTACTTAAAGCAGCAACAAGGAATTTTCATTTTGTGTTGATTCTGGCGGTATCCGACCAAAGCCGACCTCGTGGCAGGCTTCTTCTTGTTGATGGTTTATGTAGGTCATATAGAGGCATCAGTATTAACCTGAGACTGTTTCATAACCAGTTAAAAACTTCTTCTAGTATGTTTAAGTACAATTTTAAGGTACTTTCCACTTGATGCTACTACACTTTGGAGGGACCCCGCCTACATTTATCTGACAGCTTTATTTCTAGTCACATTGAAAGTTAAATTAGAACTGGTGTTGGGGAGTAGATATAGCCTTTTGTGGCTCCAGAGCAGGGCTGCCTAAACTTTGTTTGTTGGAGAGCCTAAACTGAAGCTTAATGCTGGGCCACGGGCCAAAAGCAAACACTGATTATAATGTATTGTTAAGATGCAAAATGGTACTTGGATATTGGACCTGGGCAAAAAGTCACGCTTCCCACTGTGCTCTGATAATGAAAAAAATAATGAATGATGAATTATCCTACAGTATATATTTAAAGGTGCATTGTGTAACATTTATAAAGATCTGCTGGTAGAAATGGAGTATAATAGGGGTTTTTACCTGTTTACCATCAGACCATCAGTGACAAGTTTGGCTATTTCTATAAAATTATTATTAATGCCTGACACTGGGTCGGATTTGGTCAGATTCTCCTTGAAATCAATGAAACGAGGTGGTTGAAACACTCTGAGGACCCTTTTTTGCTCATGGTGTCCACCAGAATCAACAAAAACAACCAAAAACAAAGTTCCTTTTAAGTACAGTAGCTGAGTAAATGTGCTTAGTTACTTTCCACCACTGAAAATCACATTAAAGTTTAACACTAAGTGGCTGTAACTCTCATCCCTGTTCTTTTTCTTAGGAGAGTACATGTGTCTCTATGTCCAAACATCAGAGTATTACACAATAACCCACAAAGCCATATCTGAACTGGACGCATCCCTTAGGGCAAAAATTGACATCACCGTGACTCCAAGTTTTCCGCACTGCGAAAAGGGCATAGATAGACTGACTGTACATATCACATGTCAGACACAGAATAGGAATGAAAATCAGACTGTGAAATGGACAAGCAACTGCACGACGATAGTGCAAAAAATTAGTAAGTGCATTTTCTTGTGTTAATCTTAATTCATTTAAATTAATCCTTGTGCAAATCCCTATGAATTTGAAAATATATGACCTGCATATGTGATCTTTGCAGATACCACTGCGTCAGCGATTGTTGACTGTAAATCTGGAAGCAGAATTCCAAATATAATGTGCAGTTTTGAAAACACATGCCAGCAAGTCAGCCACGCTAATACTAATATCAATATCATATATGGTATGTTGTAGTATATATCACTCATATTTCATAGTAATATGTTCTACTTTTGGCATTTTATTTGAGTGTGAATTTCATGCACCGTATATTGCCCTCACATGAACAAAATATAGTGTCTAATATACATTTCTTTTAGAAAAAACCCACAACAATGCTTCAACTTTCATAGATATGTAGAATAGAATATGGACAATGATTATTATTTATTTATTTAGTGTCTAAAATCTCAGTTAACTGCCCACTCTTGAGTGAACTGTGTTATTATGTGGGGCAGTGGTTCCCTGGGCCGTTCAAGGCAAAGCAGTTTCTAATGGCAACCATATCTAACAGGTTGTAAATGTCTGAGTTGTGACTTCAACCAAAAAAAGTGATCTGTGATCAAATATTTTAAAATAATAATAATGTTTATATCCAAAACCTCTCTCTTCAGCCAATTTTATTTTTTTTTATATGAAGGTGTCATACTGTTTATGTGGTCGCTGAAGTAAGCTGCAATACCTTTGGCAATATTAGTAAAGATAAGAACAGTAATAACTCCAGCAGCCATGCATGAACTACATATAGTAGGTATAGGTATAAAGTAAGCATATTATACATAATAACAGTGTGATGCTACGAAATATGTATAATACTGTATATAAAGAGAAAACCCTGATATACAAAATTACTATTGCATTAGTTTACAGATATGTTACTAATACTATGTATTAATCTTACGTAGTAAAGAGCCAGTTAGTGAGTGATTGAGTATTTTTTCACAGATACTACATGTTTTTTTAATGAGCTGAACCTGTGACCCCTTTCGGGTGTCCAGCTCCCCAGTTTGGGAACCACTGATGCAGGGAATATTGAATGAGTGAATGAGGGAGTGATTTTGGCCAAAGCAAATATTTGTATGATATATGAAATATATATAAAACATAATTTCATGCTAACATATATTAGTTGTGTATGTGTATGTGTATGTGAATATTTAATATATGTAATAAATTATAAACCCAACTTTTCTTTAAAACAGAAAATGATACATTCTGTAAAGCTGATGGTGATTGGAAAAACACCAAAGCTGGATTCACTGCAAGGTTACAATGCAAATATTCAACAGGACAAAGACAAAGGAGCTGCAGTAGGTGGGGCTGCAATTAATGATCAGTTTTATTGCCATTTCTGATTAATCCATTAATTGTTTGGTCTATATATTGTCTGCAAATAATGGAAAATGCTCATCTCAATTGCTTAGACAAAGAAAACTAGAAAATATTAAATTTGAGGAACTTAAAGGTCCAGTTTGTGAAGGCACTACTGGCAGAAATGGAATAAAATATTCATAGATATGTTATAGAATGAGTCGTTTTTATCTATAGATGCTGCAGGTCGCCTTCCGTTGTTCTACAGCAGCCCAGAAGGGACAAAACAAACACTGGCTCTAGATAGGGCCCTTGTAACGGGAGGGTGAACTATGCTGCTAGATTTAGCTGCCACTAAATCCTACCCACTGGGCCTTGGTTCCTCAAATTGAATATTATATTTGTTGACGATTACCTTGATAAATGAATCACCTAATTGTTTCAGCTCGGGGATATGGGGAGCGGAGGTTTCAGGGTGTGTGAATAATGAAGTGACCAATGTGCTGCAGAAAGCAACCGTAAGTCTGACTTTAATAACCAAAGGAAATAAAATGAGATCTTCATCATTTAATATAAAAGTGACTCATACCGAACCAACTCACAGTAGCATTTTTTGGAGAAGAAATCTGAGCTGACAATTTTCATTCTAACACAATTAATTCTCACTCGTAAATGTTGTTACAGATTGTTGACATTGGACTTGGCAAAACAGATGATAACGTTGCACAAGTGTTTTCCCTCCTCGGGAAGGTCACTAATGACTCACAGTCTATCAACACTTTTGCCAATATAAATGCAACTATTGCAATACTCAACATTTTGAGTGAAAAGAATAACATAAAGGCAAATTCAACAGCAACAAATGTAAGTATTACAGCATATTTCATTATCTTCTTAAATTTTGCATATGCAAATAGACAAGAATAATTACACAATAAATATTTTGTCACAGTTTTCACAAATCAAAGCAATAGAAACACAGCATTTTACTTATCTAACAAAGAAATTGTTAAGAAATCAGGTAAGAGATGATAAAAAATGAAAGAAAAAAGAAACAAAACAATAACAACTACTATTTCGACCAGTCACAGGTATCAAATCAACCAGGACTCAAATCTTAAGGATTGTAACTTTAAGCTGCCAACAATGATTATTTTGTACCAATATTCAATGTAACTACTGTCAAACAGACATATTTGCATTGGTACATATTCCATATTCTTTTTCATAATTATTATGAGCAGTGGAATGGCCTTTTCTAACTTTGAGCAGACATGTCTTAAGTCAACTGCAACTGAAACAAGCTTCCTTCTTTTCAGGACTTTCTTGAGTCATCCAGCAATTTGCTGGAAAGGTCTCTTCAAGCTTCATGGGAAACAAAGCTGAACGGAAGCCAAAACCCCCTGGCTGACACATATTTGAGATCTGTTGAGAAATTAATTAAGGTGGCAGACATAACAAATGCCCCTAAAAAAAAAAAAAACATAGAGGTAGCAGCATGCAATTCCACACAGAGTTCGATTTGTACCAACAAGGTGTTCAATGTCACCGTCCAACTTAAAGGTTCAGATGATGTCCAAGTAAAAACAGCTGGGTTTCAAGAACTGGAGAAGTATTTGCCCAACAACCACACAGAGTTCAGCCCCAACAGCATTGTCGTGTCAACAACTGCTGATAACCAACAACGGAGTCCGGTGTCCGTCACAATTAACTTCCAACTGCTCAAGCGGAGGCCTCGCAACGTTGATATAAAGTGCGTGTACTGGGACGAGAATATACCAGGTTGGTCACCAGAAGGATGCGAATGGCAAGGTCATTATAGGGAGACAGAATGTGTTTGCCAACACCTGTCCTCATTTGCCATTCTAATGTCAAAGTATCCCCTGAACATCCCTGAGTTAACAAAGATAACCTACGCCGGACTGTCTATATCAGTAATATGCCTTGTTATTAACCTTCTGATCGAACTGACTGTCTGGAGTGCCGTGGTTAAGACAAACACTTTATATCTACGCCATACTGCCCACGTAAACATTTCTCTCTGTTTGCTAATTGCAGATTGCTGTTTTTTAGCGTCTTCTGAGCCAAAGAAAATTTCAGAAATCATGTGCGGTGTCTTTGTCGTGTTGAAGCATTTCTGTTACCTGTCCATGTTCTTTTGGATGTTGTGTCTGAGCAGCATACTTCTTCATCAAGCGGTTTTCCTGTTCCATAATGTGAGCAAGAAAAACTACCTCCGGTTCTCAATAGTCCTGGGCTACGTGTGTCCTCTGCTCATTGTTGCTGTCACACTTCTTGTCTATAAGGCCGGTGCTGAAGGCCATTACTTCTCCCACGAGACCTGTTGGCTTGTTTATGATGGATTTATGAAAGGGTCAATCCACACGTTTATCATACCAGTGGGTATAATTATTTTTATCAACATTTTCTCCATGGTGGTGGTAATCATGAAGCTTTTGGATCACCCTAAGGGCGTAGACAAATCTCACGACAAAGAAAAAAAGGCGGCCCTAACTGTCATGAGGTCAGTCGTCCTTCTGACGCCAGTCTTCGGTCTGACTTGGATGTTTGGGTTTGGTGTAATGCTTCTTGATCTCACATCTGGGATCATGGCTTACATCGTCAATTACATCTTTACGCTGCTGAACGCATTCCAGGTACGGTCAATACAATCTTCCAGTAAACATCTAGAGCAGTAAAAGCATTTCTCGTCCAGTAACCAATGTCGTTTCATTTGCAGGGTTTGTTCATTTTGTTAACCACGTGCCTGGGGGACAAACTGGTAAGCTAGTTTTACACCTAAAAATAAATTGCCTACTTGTCATGTATTGTTTTATTAAGTCCCGCCCCTTTTTGCTCTGTCCTCCAATAACAGTTTAACATGTAGGAACCTCAGGCAACTCTCCCCTTTTCCTGTAGGCCTACTAACATAATGCTACATGCTACTAAACTTGGTTGGTTCGATGGTTAAAAGATAAAAGCGACAACTTATGTAAATTGGCTGGCTAGTTAGCCAGCATTTTGCTAACATTAGCTAGATAACATCAGATATATATAGGCCTATTCCGCTTTTATCCTTTAACCACCTTAAAAATGTGGTTGTCTTCTCAACATAAATGAGCCTAGCACATATCTAAGTACAGGAAAGGAGGAAGTTATTGGAGCATAGAGGAGAAAGGGGCGAGACTCAATTATATCTAGTCTCAGTTAGTCTCAATTCTGGCTTCCCACAATTAAATTAATGTGATTACGATATTAATGTTTGCAGCTGCAGCCTGGGTACTTTTATTCCCAGAAAAAAATGCAGTTTGAAGTTACTGCTGCAGCTTCATATTAAAAGCATTTTACTGGAGGAACATGAGCTAACTTTTATTTTGCAGTGAAAATATTGTGATCTCAGTGTGATTAATCGTGCAGCCCTGGTCTCAGTAGGAGCTACAACATCTGGATAGTTGCCATTGGTTATTGTAGCTATTCTCTATTTAATTACATTTATTTAAAAGTGCAGTGAGAGTACATTTATCCCAGTAAGGGATTACAATGTCAGTAATCAAATAAAGTCCTAGGGATTGTATCCGATTAACAACACACTGTAATTTGTGTAATTAGAAATGCAAACAGGTAGTATAGCCTCATTAAAACGGTTTTAATCCACTTTTGACAGACCCGTGAAGCACTGCTGAATCGTCTTACAAGCAAGGTTAGTGCACTACACTTGGTTTAATCGTATATATAAAATACCAAAATGACTACTGAGTGATTTTACACATCCATCTCCTCTGCTCCCCAGACCAAGACTCACACATCGACTAATGACAGCACCACAAAGTTAGAATCAACTATGAAGAAGTGAAAATCATCTCAAACATGTGCACCGTGTGTTTAGTGGCGGTGAGGTCACAACCAACTGAACACCCCTCACCTCACCCATACTTACTTATTTATACTGCCATTTAATTTCTGTATTATTCTGCCAATATACCCCCTAAACCTTTCACACTGGACCTTTAAATCAAAACATTTTACACATAAAATCAAAGATATAAGCACAATATGCTACATTTACTCTCTGATTTGATTATTTGTCTCTTGTTTATTTTGGTTTATTATCTGTGATACATGTTAAGTCCACTGCACAAAGTTGTAATGTTTATTTAGTATATACCTATGTGTCTGATATTTCAATTAAACTACATATTAATATCAAATGTGGTTTAAGCAATACTGTATTTTACATGTTTTCCATGAGTGAAGTGCTGAAATGCCACAGAAACACTGTTTACTGAAAGGCTACTTTACTGCGTAACTGTAAGTTAGGCCTACGTCTGAATGTTGCTTTTAGAGATCCTGTTTTCTTCGTTTTCTTTGCCCTGTTCTGCCCAATCCTCGTCTGTGTCATCCAGTGAAATCCCTTTTTGGGCGGCCACCTTGCGGTAGGCCTGGCACTCAATTTCTGCTCTGCAAAACACAAAAACAGGGCAATTTTACTTGTTTAACTTCTGTATAAAGTCACTGTATGAGACTATTAGGCGGACTATTTGAAAGAAAAAGCATTTTCATGTAAAAATAAAGTTTGATTAAAGTATGACACATGTCAAGGAGGTATGATTCATAAATAAAACCAGTGGTGGAAAAATTAGAAAACCTGGTGTCATTTCATACTTTTTAAGGAATCGAACGCAGTCCTGGTGTCCATATATTTCAGCTATTCGCGCTGGTTTGTCTCCACAGCAGTCCTCCTTGTCTATAGGCGCATGGAGGGAGTGCAGCAGCCGCAGCACAGCCAGCCGGCCGGACTCTGCGGCGAAGTGTGCAGGGGTCCATCCGTGCTCCGTCCTCAGGCACGGCCTGGCTCCGTGATCAATGAGGATCCTGACCGTTTCTGTATGTCCTGTAGAGAAAAGGCATCCCACTGTGATCTGACACCTTTAAGAACCTGGTGATTTTCCTTTAATATAGTCTGTTAAAAACTAATTATTTACTGTGATAAAGGACAATATGACTCTTATTCTCTAATTATTACGACAAGAAGACTAAAGAGATAAAACTGTGTGTGGAGGAAGCAACAAGAAAACCAAGAAATTCAGTAATTCCACAAAAAGGGCGCAAAACACAGAAGGCATAATCCATTTATCACTTAATTGATATCCATCCATTTATCAGTTAATTGTAATTGTTGTTCAGGCAAAACAAGACTTATGAAGATCACATGTTGGGAACATTTCTCAAGATTTTTTTTTTAAACCTTTTTTAAACTGAGAAAACAATCCATCAAATAATTGATAATGAAAATAACCTATAATGGTTAAAGCCGTTAATGGTTGGTAAAGAATCCCAAATTGATTGATAATTTGGTTTTTAATATGCCTAAACAGACTAATACTTAATTGCTACTAAAATTATTATAAATAAAGTTATTGATGTTTCCTATAGCCAAAAGTTGTGTTTACACCTCAAAACACAATGAAACAAGCAAATAAATTGAACTGTGATCAGTAAAAAAAAGCACAATAATTATTCACATTTCAACCCAAAGTACAGTATGTGGATAAATCATTTGTACAGGGTTTAAATGTGGATGTATAGACATTATTTGAACAGAAATGAACAGTAAGTGCTGGAATTAAGGAAAATATATGACTTTTCACAGCATTTTGGACACCTATTCGCGTGTACACTTTTAAAACTATTGATATATAGGGTGTATGAGAAAAATGGATCCGGTCTATGTCCACTTACTTACCTTTAGCTGCAGCCCAGTGAAGAGGTGTCTTGTAGCTCCAGTCGATGTCTCTCTGATTGGGATTGCATTTATTTTGCCCCAGAATTTCCTCAACTTGGTCGAAATCCCCCGCTGCTGCTGCCTGGTGCAACTCTGTCATTTCGTTGCAGAGGTTGCCAGGCAACAAGTTGATCAACACAAGATGGAGCCAAGCGTTAACCTGAACCTGCAAACGGTGAATGCTGCCACCTGCTGCAGATAAAGGTGAAACCAGGCTGTGTCATAACCAATGATGGGCTAGTTACTTTTAAAAAAATTACTCGTTATTCTTTTAAAAAAGTAATATAAATACTTATTTCTCCCTGCAAACAGTAATTAGTTACACTTCTAGTTAGATTACTTTTATGCTACTCCCCACAAAATTGTGTCCCTTCTCCCCAAAATTCAGATTTATGACGATTAAAAATCCAGTTTTGTTTGTTAAAATCAAAGTATTGGGAATAAAGTTAAAATTAAAGTAATGGGAATTACAAAAATAAATCCAAGGATGTGATTGGATTGATAGATTTCAAATTAGTAGCAGATAACAAAAGTAATACTACAATTATTAGTATAATTTTTGAGGAGGTACCTGTAATATCATTCCTTAAATGTATTAGTAATAAGTTACACTACTAGTTACTGGAGAAAGTAATATTATTACTGTAATATTATCACTAGTAATGCGTTACTGCCCAACACTGTACATAACACACTGATGAAGCTGAACTTCATGATCATGATGCGCTTGTAAAGTGTCATTTAATATCGCACAGAAAGAATTAAGTTAGCTTTTAAACGGCTATGAATTAAAATTTAAGCGAAGCGACCCTGAAGCTAACATTTGCATGACGTCATTCAGACCAAAATGGTAAAAAAAACAACCAAAAACACAATTATTTAAACGAAAAGTTCATACCAATACTTCAAGCCTACATTTTTTAACACAAGCACATATTTTAAATATAAAACAGAACCACTGAAGTAGTAATAATAGCATTTCAGTAAAATCTTAGTAGACACCTTTTAGAACAAAATCAGTCAGTATTATTACAATCTATTGCAATTATTAGTTAAACATCGTAAATTAATACAATATCAAACTTTAATGACATTGAAAACATAATTTCTAGCGCCTCAAAATTTCTTTTATGAAATACAATTAAGATTCTTACTTAGAAATGAGTACACTGGCAGTCAGTAATTAAGCTTCATGTGGGTTGTAAACAAGATTCAAACCAAGAATGTACTGAGGGTTGAGGGGGAGTCCAAAGATAGATCTGCATATGTCACAAAAGATAGTAATCTGACATGAGTAATATGGTAAGACTTGTGTGAAGCTATTCTATCATCTACTATAAAAGCTAGAAACAGAATGACATAACTTCCTCAACTCTACCTCACACCACAATGATCAGAGATACGCTTCTAGGAAAGTTGACTGTACCTGCCTGTGCATCTGACAAAACATGTGAATTAATCTCTCATTAGACCTAGAACGTTCATTGGGGAATTTTACCAATATTGGTGCGCGTCTAGAAACGTATCAAAGATCTTTTTATGAATTTATATTTTTCCTGGAAGTGTTTACGAATTACATTAAAGTCGAACTCTTTCTTAGAAGGCTATGAAAACTGAGTGTTCCTCTTGAAAAGATCACCCACATTCTCAAGTTTGGATATAATTAATGTTTTTTAAAGATTTGGCAGCATAAAACCCTTTCAAATATCTCCAAGCAACCCATTTTAAATGTGGGTTCGGTTGGGGAAGGATCTGGAAGTCTGTCTGTTTTGTTTGAACCTCAGGACACTTCAGGAGTTCTTGGTGAACACATAACTGCAACTCAGATTTAAACTCCAAATTACCAACATTTGATCACTTTCATCTAAAAAATAATGAGTGATTGTATCATTCAACATAGTTTAACCTGAGGAAAGAACCTCCATTTGAAAAATTCATCCCCTTATGCAAGTACTGTATGTTTATTGACACAAATTAACCACATTCATTTCATTTAGTTAGTAAAATTAGATTTGGTAACATTTCAATCGTCTGTTCACAAAAGTCAAGAGAGCTCTGTCACAGCTGGATTTCCACATGGGCAGTTATCTGGGTCCGGAGCTGAAAACAGACAAAGATTATATCACATTTTAAAACATTCAATTTAAAAGTGCTTTCATTCATTCTTTACTGATGGATTTACTTTGTGAGACCTGCATGAAATTACTCAAATATCAATAATTCACCATTCAGTTGTTTACCATTAATGAAATTGTGAGGAAAAACAAGTCCTACCATTCATTCCACTGCTTTTCAGTTACTTTAACCACCCTCATCATCATCCTGGTCACCTACAGATGAGAAATCAAATGGCATTAAACAACTTGTAAATATGACAGTCATTAAAAATCTAATAAATCTAAATTGGTAACAAGACCTTTCTATGGTTTCAAGAAGTGACACCAAGTATAGTCGACTAACCTGATCCCACCCCGTCTGTCAAGGCATGGTTTGTGTCCAGAACTTTCCAGTATTTCTCCATCAGTGTATTCACAACTGCTCCCTCAAGCTCGATTTCCACTGCATATTGAGAAACTGCAATCTCTGAATGGTCTTCCATGTTGAACACTGTCACACTGAGTGGTTTATCAACCAAGAGATTGTGGAAGTCATCATAAACACTGTCATCCCAGGAGCCCTTGGACTCATCAAATCCTTTCAAAGAACATAGAAATGCCTGGGGCTCCTTGTCCAGCAGACTCTGAGGCAGTGGTCTCACATTCTTGATGTCAACATCAGACTCATTTCCATAGTCAACAAACACAACATGGAATGCATCATCAACTCTGTGAATCACTTGAGCTCGATACCACTGGCTGTCAGTGGAAAACAGAGCGAGGCATGGACTGCCAGGACCAAGAGTCTTAGGGAACATAATGTCCTGCTCTGTCTGTCCTGCTTCCCGAGCAAGCCTCGACACTTGGTTGAGCTCCTCTGTGTTGGTGTACTGACACCAGAAGAAATTAGGTTCCACAATACAAGAGGCGTAAACCATCTCTGTCTGGTTTTTCAAAATGTTTGGATTCTTGTACATGCATGTATTAATTTTTTCTTTGGAAATACTGAGGTGTGCCATCTCGGAGTCAGTTTGACCATCATCGAGGAAAGTTTCTGGTTCAAGGCTTTCTATCAAAACACTTTCTTCTGCAAATGGTTTCCAGTATTTCTGCATTGCTGCATTTACAACCACTCCCTCACACTCAATTTCCACTGCATATTGAGAAACTGCAATAGCTGAATGGTCTTCCATGTTGAACACTGTGACACTGAGAGGTTTATCAACCAGAAGATTGTAGAAGTAATCAAAAACACTGTCATCCCAGGAGCCCTCGGACTCATCAAATCCTTTCAAAGAGCACAAAAAGGCCTGAGGGGCTTCGTCCTGCAGACTCTGAGGCAGTGGTCTCACATTTTTTATGTCAACATCAGACTCATTTCCATAGTCAACAAACACAACAATGAATGCATCGTCAAATCTGTGAATCACTTGAGCTCGATACCAGTGGTTGTCACTGGAAAACAGAGCGAGGCATAGACTGCCAGGACCAAGAGTCTTAGGGAAATTTAGGTCCTGCCCTGCATGTCCTGCTTCCTGAGCAAGCCTCGACACTTTATTGAGCTCCTCTGTGTTGGCGTACTGACACCAGAAGAAACAGGGTGCCACAATACAAGACGCATACACCTCCTCTTTTTTGTTTTTGGAGATGTTTGGATACTTGTACATGCAAGTGTTCACAGATTCTGTGGAACCATTAAGTTGTGCCGTGTTGGACTCAGTTTGACCACCCTGGAGTAGGTTTTCTGTCATAACATGTTCTGTGCA